AACCAACAATTTCCAGCTGTTATGAGGTCTGTTTGAAATAACTTTCACCTGACCCCTTCTGTGAATGCTTAAGAGTGACATATTTTGGAAATGAGCCATTATTTTAGATGATGTGGCGGGATTTTTAAAAATCCCCAACACTGAGCTTGCTCTGCTTCTACAGACAGTGGCAGCGAAATTCTCATAAATATTTGTAGGCGAGGGCTGAGCTTTTCTGAATTATCCTACCTACAAGGTGCAGCATATTCAGCTAGACCAAGGTGGACAAAGTCAAACTGTGGTTTTGGCAGATAGCTCTCCTAATTTTTGCTGAGGCAGCCGAAAAGGTTTCGGCCTCCAGCTGTTCATCCTCTCCCTCTGCCAGAGGCTACTAGCCATGTAACCGTAGCTGTAAAAATGAACATGTGCCAGCTCCTGGCATACCAGTTGATGGTATGCCTTTCATGGCCAGAGTTATTTAACAGGCAGTCACAGCCTATCTGTCAGAATTCCTAGTTTCATGGGAAGGACAGGATTATGCCACAGAACCACTATTTCCAAAGTTTGATGGAAAAGAGCTAGTTGGATTAATCCTTAAAAACAGGGATTGATGATCCTTCTGTTTATTTATTGTCCCTGGTTTACAACTGCCACTTCTGTGAGCTTCCTCTTTCAAGAATGTTCTTATTTATTAGCATTCAAAGTAAAGTTTGAAGAAAATTTTTCAGGGTCTGGATTGTCTGCAAACAAGAAAGGAGGTCAAGGCATTGTTTCTTCTACTTAAATGGACAGATGAAACTCTGAAGAGATATTTCACAGCCTATGGCTGGAAACCAAGCACACCAGTGTAAGGCCTACAGGAGTTGAAGTTATTCACCTTGTTATAGAAAAGGCTGAAAGGAATCTCGATCACTGTGGTTGGTACTTACACCCTGGAAACATGTCTGATAGCAAGATGTCAACCATCCCGACAGTGGTATAATGAGATCTAATGCTGAGAAATGGAAGTTACAGAAACTCAACTTTGACATATGATGCAAGTTCCTACTTTAGAAGGTAAATAAGCATTGTATCAACAGCAGAATCATCTTTTTTTTGCAATTTTTAACATGAACTTAGAGATCTTTTTTGAAAATGATGCATTCTGTATCATACTTACGAGAAACCATAGGGTCAGGGTAGGCTGGCTATGGTGGTCCTGTCCGCCCTGGAAATCTTGACTCTGTAAGTCGCTCATTTTTTAATTATTTCCTTCATTGAACTCATATATTTGCTCCACTACATTACAAAGATTGTTATAACTCAGATCTCATGTCACATATCTTTACTTTGTTCCCTTGCAGTGAACATGAAGAAATTTCTTTCCTTTGCTGCATATTGGGTAGTCCAAGATTATTTTAATTCTTTTTGCTTTCCCATAAAGCCTTAGACTGTGGCTTGAGAAAATAATCATAATGATAATCTTTAAGATAATTCTCTCTTTTAGCTGTTTGGTTACCTGTCCTTGTTCCCAAGCTTACAGTTGTCTCAATCACCAAATCTGCATTCAGAGAAGAATTTCTTTAGGGTCATATTTCCATGGATCTTGGCAATTTTCTGGGATCATCTTCCTGCCTAATCAGTTCCTTGCTCCTAATGGTGCCTCAGACATTGGCATGATTTTTGATCTCAGCGTTTCTGGTTCTTTACTTGTGGCCCTCCATTTATTTATGAAATGCTTCAGTTCTACTGTGGTCTGTCGGCTTAATGTAAAGTATACATCAGTGAAACCTAAAAACTGAAACTATACCTAAAGTTACACTTCCTGACTTTCTTGATCTTAAAAAAGAAATGACCTTCTGTCCCTAGGACATCAGAGGCAGGCCTGCAAAACAACTGTAAACCTGAACGCCAAAGCATATACACATGCACATCCTACAGCAGGTGCTGTCAGAAGTCAGCTCCTGGAAGTTCTCAATGTTTACTGCAATGTTTATAAAATAGTGAAATTACGACTTCTGTAAACCACAAAAAAAAAAATGTTTACCACATTGCTGACTTGTTTATTCATCATCCCCTGTCCCAGCTATCAAACAAGTGTGGAATACACGCGACCTGTCTATTCCACTCCACCCCTCAAAAAAGAGTATGTAAGCCTTCAATAACAAAGAAGTTCAGAAACACTGATGCAGTGCATTGTAGCCATGCCCCCGCAAAAGGCAACTATCCCACACTGACACAATAAACCGAGAAAAAATGCCAACAATTTGATCAGCTCAAAAGTCCTACTATGAGAAGCTTTTACGACCTCCATTTTCCCCTGTGTAGCAGCAGCTTGCAAAACAAGCCCCTAAGCCCCAGAAATCAATGTTCTCTCCAGTACTGAATCATTTCACCTCTTTATATACTACTTTGTAACATGCATGCTCTGCAGTATAACATCTCTCCTCCAGAATACCTTAACTCATAAGACAGCCAACTTGAATTTAGCTTTACGAGCCAGCTGACTTTCTGTCGACTACTTATCCAAGCAATCTATCTAGGGTCAGGTAGTGAGTCAACAGAGAGCAGATATGGCCCCAAGACCCTTCCAACCATAAGATTTTTCTTCCAGGTTACACCCTATGCCTCCAAAATTGTCTCATTTTACTTACCATCCTACAAGAACCTTGTAGTTCTTAAACTTCCTTGCCGCTCACTCTGCTTGACTGCAAGCAAACAAACTCTGAAGATGCACAGGCATCACGCAATCTGTGGGCAACTCATCCAAACAGAACAGATGAAACACAAAGGCACGCAGTTAACTGAACTGGCTTTTATCATCATCCTATACATGATGCATATATATTATATGACATTTCATCTAAGGCTTTCCCAATGTGTCTCCAAAATCCTTCAGTATCATTAAGGGCAGATTTCAATATCTTTCATTTTAAGCTATTAAATGTGAATGCTAATACAATATTCCGGTGTGTGATAATAACTACTCTTGACAACATTTCTTTTTGTATTAAAGTGTAACTGCCTGAGAAGTTTGGGTTAGAGGAAACTAAGAATATGACTGCATTCTAATATGAAAAGATACGTAACAGGGAGTTGCTTTTAATATACATTCAGAATTGCATTACATTATGTAAATGATTATTATAAATAAAACATATAGGCAACATCATGGCATGGCCAGTTAGAAATTTAGAAATTCCATTGTGGGGTAACCCTTCTTCAGACAAGTTATAACTTTCAGCAAGCAACATGCACAAAATATTTAAGTGCTGTTATAAAATGGAAATTATAATTTCCTTATATAAGTTAGGAATATGAGTACATAAACACACTGCTTGACTGTTATCGATGCAGGAGCTACGACAGAGTTCTACAAATTTCCAGGCTGGGACAACTGTTTTATCAGGCATGGGTTTACCAAAGGATCTAAAGTTGGCTTTTGTCCCCCAATAGTGCAGCATGACATCTGAGTAATATGATGTACTCATGGCCATGAAGCCCATTTTCACTTTCTTACTTAGGTGCGGCCAGCTCTGCTGGCATTTACAGTGATGATTATGAAGTAGCAAAGCTTGCAAGCACTGTATTTTTTATTTAACCTTTATGCTTTTTTTAAATGAATATTTCAGCTTTACAACTAGAAAAATCCTTACGTGGACTATGTCACAAAGCCATTATAATCCGGTTGCACTGAAAAAAAATACAGAGCAACATTTTTCATGGTGACACCCCCGCAAGGAAGCTTCATTATAGCCTATATACAGAAGAATTTAGAAGACAAAAAGGAAGGTGCAACAGGGCAGAAAAAAACTGGAAGAGGTGGAAAGCCAAAGGGGATTAATGCAAATGGAAGATTTATGTATACCGCTAGCTGTATGTATGTATACTGTGATTATAAATGTAGAGGCATACCTGTGCTAGCTAAGTAGCTAGGTCGGATGGCAACTGCCATAAGGATGCATAGGTTCAGCTACCTATCCTGTCCCCGCCACGAGCTAGCTTTCTCTGTGCTAAGTTACTCCGTCTTCACTGCTAGGGTCACCTGTGCTATCTG